CATTTTGTTAGCTTTGGCCCAGCTTTCTAGTCTGTTCAAGTCACTTTGTAAGGTTTTTGTTGTTGTTTTTGTTCAAGGACCATTGCACTTCAGTACTCTACATTGGGCAAACAGGACAGTCTCTATGCCAGAGGATAAATGGACATAAATCAGATATCAAGAATGGGGATACACAAAAACCTGTTGCAGAACGCTTCAGCTTTCCATCTGTGATCTCAGGACAGTGGTCCTTGATCAAAAAAACACACAAACAAAATCTACACAGGAAGATTGGAAAGAGATATCCACAAACTCCAATCCATCAACAGTGGGTTGAACATTTTACATATTATAACACTGGCTAACACCCCAGCCTCATGAGGATGCTCTTGGCTAGTTCATCACATCTTCTTTCTGGTTCCCAGCCTGCATGCACCATGTTCCACAATTCCCTCCATCATTCCTATGGTCCTCCACCCACTCTGGCCTAACGCAACATTTTCCCTCCTGCCTTTGTCCCTCAACCACCATCATGAAAACTGAACTTATTGTTTTCTATGGCTGTTCATACAGTCTGATTATAAAGGTCCTTCCTGTGCACCAGTTCACTCCGTGCATCTGAGGGAATAGACTTCAAGTCTATGAAAGCTCATGCTACAACTTCTTTTGCACAGTTCAACTCAAAGGTGCGGCAAGATCCCTTTGCACATTGATCACGAATCAGGTGTTTTGCATCATTCAATTAAGGCTCTAATTCTTGCTCAAGTAGTGAATATGTGCTAGAGCAAGACTCTCATGATGGACTGCTCTTCCATAACATATCTTTGCCTGAAGTGGAGATGCTTTCCTATACCAACCTGACTTGTTTCTATTTTCCTCTACAGCTCGAACCTATGATAACCTGGATGCCTGTGAGGTTGTTCACTCAGCATCACTGATTACAGCTTCTTCGTTGTTAGAGGTTAGTTGGATTTCTCCTATACTGGCCAAATGGCCATAATAAATATATTGAATTGAATTGAATTGGATTGGATTTCTCCATTCCTTGTCTTCTTTGATGACTCTTGCATGGCTTCATTATGGAGAAATGAGAACTGCATCAAAATATTGCAGCATGAAGTACTGCTTTTCATGACTTTCTGGTTGGCTGGAACCCCGATGCTTCCATTACATTCCCAATCCTTGCTATAGACAAGCTCCCTAATCCAATCCTCATAGAGCTTGGTGATTTCAAGACCTTTCACCATTTTGGTCACCCTCCTGTGGATGTGCTCCAGCTTGTCACATCCTTTTTGCATTGTGGTGCCTAGACCTACACACAGTATTATTTGCTGGCTTTTCATTTTATCTCCTATCCATTGCATCTAGGTTGACCCTCAGGATTTGATGAACTGTCTCACCAGCAGAACTATCATCACAAGAGGGGAGACTGTGTCCACCCCCCTCAGCATGGAGCAGGCCCTAGATGTGAGGGAT